ATTGGGAATTGTACCTTTACATAATGCATCTTGGTTCTTATTTTTTTCCCCATTCCTAGCCCTCCCTTCACCCCCTCCACCCTTCCCTATTTACAGACTTTATTTCCATTTTTTCCATTTCTCATCATTTTTCCTTTTCTTCTTTCCTTTCCCCTGCCCCTCCCACTACCCCATTTTAGTCCTTATTTCCACTTTCAGTTTTTCACACCAGAGAAACAATGCAGTATTTAAACATGTGGGTCCGATTTATTTCACTTGACAGTATGGTCTCAAGGTCCATCAATTTAGCTATAAATGTTTGAAGTTCATCCTTCTTTATGGCAGAGTCGTACTCCACTGTATTAAAAAACCACATCTGGGCTGGATTTGTAGCTCAGTGGCACAGTGTCTGCCTGGCATGTGCAGGGTCCTGGGTTCAATTCCTGATACCCCCCCCCAAAAAAAAAACCTTACATCTTTATCCATTCATCATTTGGTGGGCATTTGGGCTGTTCCAAGATTTAGCTATTACCAACTGTGCCACCGTAAACATGGGTGTATATATGTTGGTGTGGTATGATGCTTTACATTCTTTTGGGAAGAGACCAAGAAGGGAAACAGCTGGGTCAGAAATGGAACCTCTAGTTTAATTTTTTTTTTTTCTGGTACCAGGGATCGAACTCAGAACCTTGGGCTTGCAGGGCAGGCTTGGCACCACTGAGCTAAATCCCTGGCCCTTAGTTTTGGTTTTTGAGGAATCTCCATACTGATTTCCACAGTGGTTGCACCAGTCTACACTCCCACCAACAGTGGAGAAGGGTTCCTTTTTCCCCACAGCCCTGCCAGCATTTGTTATCGGTTGATTTCTTGATAACAGGTATTCTTTCTGGAGTGAGATGGAATCTCAGGGTTGTTTTAATGTGTGCATCTCTTGAATGACCAGTTATGTTAAACATTTGTGTATAATTATTTGCTGTTTTGTACTTCTTCATCTGAGATGTGTCTATTCATTTCAGATGCCTATTTTTGGATTTAATTTTAAGAGGTCTGATTTTTTTGAGTTCTTTTTTTTGGCACCAGGGATCAAACTTGGGTCCTTGTGCTTGCGCAGCAGGCGGCAAAACCACTGAGCTAAATCCCTGGCCTTTGAGTTCTTTATATATTCTAAATAGTAGTCCTTTGTCTGATGAATATCTGGTAAAAAATTTTTCCAGTGCCGTGGGTTGTCTCTTAGCTCTGTTGGTGGTTTCTCTTGCTGTGCAAAAGCTTTTTAATAAAATGAGGTCCCAGTTGTTGATTCTTTGTGCTAGTTCCTATGTGGTCTGAGTTTTGTTCATGAAGTCTTGGCCTATTCCTATGTCCTCAAACGTTTTACCTATTCTCTCTTCCAGCAGATTTAGTGTTTCTGTTTTAATATTTAGATCTTTGATCCATTTTGATTTTAGGTTAGTGCATGGTGAAAGATGTGGGTCTAGTTTTAATCTTTGGCATGTGGAAAGCCAGTTTTTCCAGCACCATTTATTTAAGAGGCTATATTTCTTCTAGTGAAGGTGTTTGGGTCCTTTGTCAAAGATAAGGTGGCTGAGTGTGTCTGGAGTTGTTTCTGCATCTTCTAATCTGTTCCATTGATCCTCAGGTCTGTTTTTTTTTTTTGCCTGTACCAGGCTGTTTTTATCACAGTAGCTTTGTAGTATAATTTCAGGTCAGGGATTGTGATGCCCCCTGCCTCACCTTTGTTGCCCAGAATTGCCTTTCCTATTCTGGGTTTCTTCTGGTTTCAAACCCAGACAGGTCTTGAACTCTCAGCAATCTTCCTGCCTCAACCTTCTGAGTGCTGGGACTACAGGTGTGCACCACTATGCCTGCACAATTTTTGAAATTAAAAAATTGTAAATTGTTGTATAACGAGGTTTAGGGAGGAAAAGTGCTTTTTCTTTAGCTCATTGGGCCAGATATTTAAATGATGTCAAATTCTTAAATATTATAATTTGGAAAGTCTGAATTGTTTTGAAGTATTAAAAGTACTCATTTAGGGCCAGGGATTTAGCTCAGTGGTTCTGCTGGCTGCCTCACAAGCACAAGGTCCTGAGTTTGATCCCTGGTACCAAAAAAAAAAAAGTACTCATTTAGGGCCGGGGATTTAGTTCAGTGGCTCCGCTGCCAGCCTCACAAGTGTAAGGTCCCGAGGTTGATCCCGGTACCAAAAACGAAAAGTACTCATTTAGTTTTATCATTTATGCATGAATATTCTAGCTCCACCCTCTATACTGGGGATTGAACTCAGGACCCTGTGCTTGCCAGGCAGGCATACATCCCCAGCCCTAGTCTAGATTTTGATGAAGTTTGGGTTTTAAAAATTGCCTGTGCTCATAAACGCAAGGTCCTGAGTTGAATCCCGGGTACCAAAAAAAAGAAAAATTGCCTGTGCGTTCATCCAAGATGGTGTACATATTATTAATCTGGGCTATTTCTGACTGCTGGTTTTTCTTTTCCCTTTAGGTGAGGCAGGCGACCAATCAAATTGTGATGAATTGTGCTGATATTGACATTATTACAGCTTCATATGCACCAGAAGGAGATGAAGGTAAGAGCTACTTTCTGTTTTAATCTGCTCTGTGTGTGTTCATGTAATATATACTTTTAGGTTAAGACATTAATGTTTATTAATTAATTAAAAATTTGTTTTAAGGCTGGGGATTTAGCTCAGTGGTGCCGCTGCCTGCCTCAAGTGCAAGGTCCTGAATTCCATCTCTGGTACCAAAAAAAAAAAAATCTTTTTTTTTGAGTGAGAGTCTCGCTGTGTAGTTCAGGCTGGCCTTATACTCACAACAAAGCCCAGACTGGCCTGGAACTCACAGCAATCCTCTTGCCTCAGTCTCCCAAGTGCTGGGATTATAGGCATGTGCCATCAAGCTTGGCATTAATTTAAATTTATTAATATAATTTATTAATTTAAAAACAAATTTTAGGCTGGGTGCAGTGGTGCATGCCTGTAACCCCAGCACTTAAGAGGCTGAAGCTGGAAGATTGCCATAAATTAGAAAGCAGCCTAGGCTAAATAGTGAGTTTAAGGCCAGCCTGAAATACATAGTGAGATTCTACCTCAAAAACACCAAAATATAAAGAAGGAAAGAATTTTTTTTTTTTCTTTTGGTATCGGGGATCGAACTCAGGTCTTTATGCTTGTGAGGCAGGCAGTGAAACCACTGAGCTAAATCCCCTGCAAAGGAAAGATTCTTTATGTGTTTATAGGAAATATTTGACTAACATAACTGTATTATGAAATAAAAGAAATGTCACAATTTAAGTTTTCCTTGAAACATTTTTTGTTTTTTGAGACAGGGTCTCGGTTTGTAGTTCAGGGTGGCCCTGAATTCACTGTGTAGCCCAGGCTGGCCTGGAACTCTGGCAGTCCTCCTGCCTTAGCTTCCTGAGTGCTGGGATTATAGGTGTGCACCACCAGGCCCTGGCACTTTTTTTTTTTTTTTTTTTGACACAGGGTCTCACTGTGTAGTTTAGGCTGACCTTGAACTCACTATGTAGCCCAGGTGGGCCTTAACTCTTGGTGATTCTCCTGCCTCCACCTCCTGAGTACTGGGATGACAGGTGTGTGCCACCGTGCTTGGCTTAGTTTTTTTTTTTTTTTTTATTGATACATTTTAGATATTACTTTGCTGGGTGTGGTTGCGTGCACCTATAATCCCTGCACTCAGGAAGCTGAGGCAGGAGGATCTCTGTCATTTTGAGGCCAGCCTGGATTACACAGGGAGTCCAAGGCCAGCCTGAACTGCATACCAAGACTTTGTCTCAAAAAAAATAAACGAACCTGATTGAGAACTTACTTTGTAATATTAAAAAGAAAGAAAGAAAGAGAAAACCCAGTAAGGCAAATGGTGAAAACTGTTGTTTCACTGTTCTGCACTTCAAGCGTTGGTGAGATCTCTGCACTTAAGCCAATCAAAGAAAGCCCCACCCAATGCAGCGCGGGGAGTGGTATTGCCATCAGCTTTTGCAGGAGAGCATGAAAGTCCTGAATGCCTGCGTGCCGGTCCTGACACAGAAAGAGTCTTCATTCCATTTGTCACTAATAGATGGCTTGGGTAAAACCACATAGAAAATAGTCACTTAAAATTTTGAACCAAGTTTTCCCTTAGTATCCTCTGTCAGTATGTGTTTGTAGAATTAGCTATGTAAGAAGAAAAATGTTGCCATTGGTGACATACCAGTTCATACAAAGTTCTAATACATATTTTCAGATCTGCCAGCCCACTTTAGTTTATCTACACAAGGCACATACATTGTAACGTGTTTATTCTTGGAGTACAGTTATATACTTGGATGTGTGCAAGTGGCCATATGCATGAGTGTAATGGCATAAAACAGCTTAGAAATACAGCCAAATATTAATAATAGCAGAGCAAAGCTATTACCTTGACAAAAAGGAATGGTTCTTCACACTTGATCATAGCACTTATCAACTCTCGTGATACTTACCCTGTCATACGCTTACTGTACATGATGATAGCATTAATTGGCTACTATCTTTTTGCAGTTAACTTGTTTAATGTCATCATTCTGAAAACACATGCAGACTTCAAAATAGGCCTGAAAGAAGGAAAATGATCAATTTCTAATACAAAAGTATTCATATATAAAATTTTATTACACATTTTTAAATGAAAAAACCTTGAGTAGAATTTTAGTTCTAAAAATAGTGATATAGGTTAAAGGCCCCAAATCAAATTTCCTGTGGGGTTAAACAAATAACAAAAATGAGTGCTTTGGTCTGTGTTTAGGAAAATGAGTGACGAGACAGAGGCTGAACCACAGCGTACATGTCTCACATAAATATATTCAAATTCTAAAAAACTTTTCTGGGCAAGTAAAGGATTTCTGTGGACCATGCTGAGTTCTGTTGGATTTGCAGCCTCTGAGGAGAGATTCCAGAACACTGCAGTGTATTATGCACATTCTTTATTGCTTGGCCTGAAGAAAAGATTTGAGCATAGCTGGCTCATTAAAAAAGAGGAAAAACCTTTCTGAGATTCTTACAAGCTTTTAATAGAAGCTGATATAAATAATCATAATATGCCATGTTATGATGGAATATATTAGGCAGATTATTTTTGTTTGCTGTATGTGCTTCAGTGTGCCCACTTTTCAGATGCCCAGAATCTGGCACAGTACCTCCCTTTGGGTAGCTTTTAGAAGTCTCCCTCCTTCCCTCCCTTCCTCTCTCCTACTGGAAATGGAACCCAGGGTCTTGAGTGCACCAGGCCCATTTTCAGTTTTTGGAACACTAAAATGACCTTCTTTCTGAGGTCTTTTTTTTTTTTTGGTACTGGGGATCAAACTCGGGTCCTTGCGCTTGCGCAGCAGGAGGCGAAACCACTGAGCTAAATCCCCGGCCCTCTGAGATCTTGTTTTTATGTATGTGTGCCTCTGGCTTATTCATTAATCCTGCATGTATTGAGTTTGGGGAATTTGAGCATAAAGTCTGTTTTGTGCTATTGCTTTTCTGAAGAATGGGTAAATTAATTTTTAAAATAACTACCATTCCAGGCTATATTGGGGTACCAAATATCTTCCCAGTTCTTTGGTAACTTTCAGGATACCCTGTTTTATGAATTAAATGTTTATCTCACTTTACTTTTAATTAATAAACTTTATTTTTTAGAGCACTTTTAATTCACCAAAAAACTGGAAAATACAGAGTTCCCCGTATAACCCTGTTGCTGTTAACTCCCAGATTCCCCCATGGTCAGTGTGCTGCACAGTCCTGTGTGTTAGGATGGCAGAGCCTGCATGGAAGTGGCACTGTCACCTGAAGTCCATAGTTCACTGACGGTTCATTCTTGAGTTTTTTGTTTTTTGGTTTTTTTGGTACTAGGGATTGAACTCAGGATCTTGAGCTTTCGAGACAGGCAGTGGAACCACTGAGCTAAATCCCCAGCCCAGCTTTCACTTTAGTAGCAGGCATTGAGGTTTTATCCATGTCTGTTCACAACTTAATAGCTAATTTCTTTTTAGTGTTGAGAAGTGTTCCATTTTCTGGGTGCACCACAGTGTATCTATTCACCTCCAAGGACATCTCGGTTGCTTCCAAGTTTTGGCAGTTATGAATAAAGCTGCTAGAAACATCCATGTGCAGGTTTTTGTTGGACTTAAGTTTCCAGCCCACTTGCATAAGTAGCAAGGAGTATGAGTGCTGGATCATACGGTTGGAGTCATGTTTTTTAAGAAACTGCCACTCTGTCTTCCAGAGTGGCTGCACTCAATTGCATTCCCACTAATAGTGAATTAGAGAGTTCCTGTGGTCTACATCCTTGGCAGCATTGAATGTTAGTGGTGTTTTAGATTTTGGCCATTCTGATAGGTTTGCTTTGGTATCTGATTATTGCTTTAATGTGCATTTCCCTGATGATATAGTCTATGGAGTGTCTTCTCCTATGCATGTTTGCCATATCTGTGTCTTTGGTGAAGTGAGTGTTTAGATCTTTTTTCTTTTCCTCCCCCCACCATCTGTTGTTTGTTTGCTTGCTTGCTTTGAGATAGGGCTCACTGTGTAGCCCAGGCTGGCCTCGAACTCACAGCAATCCTTCCATCTCAGTCTCCCAAGTGCTAGGATTATGGACGTGCACCACCATACCAGCCTTCCCCCCTCCCCCATCCTCCCCTCCCCTCCTTCCCCTTCCCTTCCCTCTCTTCCCTTTCTTTCCCTTCTTTTTTTTTTTTTTTTTTGGTACCAGGGATCAAACTTAGGACCTTGTGCCTGTGAGGCAGGCAGCGGAACCACTGAGCTAAATCCTTGGCCCTCTTTCCCTTCTTTTTTGAGACAGTCTTACTATGTTGCCCAGCCTGGCCTTGAACTCCTGGGCTCAGGTGATCCTCGTGCCTCAGCCTTTTGACTGTCAGGGATTATACACATGCACCCCTGTGCCTATCTTTGCCCATTTTAAAACGGTATAGTTTGTTTTCTTTTTTGGGTACTGGGATCGAACTCGGATCCTTGTGCTTGCGAGGCAGGCAGCGGAACCACTGAGCTAAATCCCCAGCCCTAGTTTGTTTTCTGTTTTTTTTTTTTTTGGTATCGGGGATCGATCTCGGGTCCTAGCACTTGCGCAGCAGGTGGCGAAACCACTGAGCTAAATCCCCAGCCCCCTAGTTTGTCTTCTTAATGTTGAGGTTTAAGAAATTTTTTTTGTTTGTTTGTTTTTGCTTTTGTTTTTTGAGGCATGGTCTCCCTTTGTAGTTCAGGCTGGCCTTGAACTTACTATGTAGCCCAATCTGGCCTCAAACCTGCGGCAATCTTCCTGCCTCAGCCTCCAGAGAGCTGGGATTTCAAGCATGTGCTATCATGCCTGGCTCAGGTTTTAAGAAATTTTGTATGCCTTGAATAACAGTACTTTATTAGTTATGTCTTTTGCTAATAATTTCTACTATCCTGTGGCTTGTCTTATCTTTTGGGTGGTATTATAGAGCAGATTTTTTTTTTTTTTCAGAGCAGAATTTGAAGTTTGAGTTATGATTCTTTCCTGGATTATGCCTTTGGTATTGTATCTAAAAAGCTGGGGCTGAGGATGT